AGGGAAAGGGGGCTGAAGGGAGAGGGGAGAAGGGCTTGTGACTCTGGGTACTCCTGGGACTGGCCTGGAGCTGCTGAGGCAGCCCCAGAGGGTGATGGGGGTCATCTATCCCTGGTCCTCAGCCCGCTGGCCTTGTTCTTTGGCGAAGGGGCAGGTCGAGTGGTCCCTACCCCCACCCAGCTTTCCAACCCATATTCAGCTTTGGGGGAAACAAGGAAGAGAGACTGAGAGAAGAGAAAAACCAGGGAAGACTGGAGGGGCAGGTGTGGGAGGTGGGTGTTACAGCCTTCAGAAAACCTAGAAGCAGTGGTTCTCCTACCTTGCCATCCATTAAAATCACCTTGGGCACTTAGAGATAATACTGATGCCTGGGTACCACCCCTAACACTTCTGAGTTCCAGCTGAATCTCATGTGCAGATGAAGTTAGGAAAGGCTGGATGAGCGTTCAGCGTCTATCCAGAACGATGCAATCTCAAGCCATTCCTTCCACCGTGACTGCTCAGGCCTTCCTCTTGAGAGTGGCCAGATTGAGGGGCCAGAGGAGAAATCTCTGAGGCACGTGGTAATGAGGTGCAACTCCCACCCGCCTCCCTTCTCTTTCAGATCTCGCGCCACCTGGGCAAGATGTACAGTGAGATGATCTTTGTCAACGGCTTCGTGCACTGTGACCCTCACCCAGGCAATGTGCTGGTGCGGAAGTGCCCGGGCACAGGAAAGGTGGAGATCGTCCTGTTGGACCATGGGCTTTACCAGGTAGGAGAGCCCTTTCCCGCCAGGGTCTGGTCCTGCCTGGGCTCAGAGCCCGCTGAACTCCCCTATTGGCCACAGAAATGGGAAGCAGATAGCAAGGTAGCTGAAGAGGGCCCAGCCTTACCCCTAGAGCTGTTATTTTGTGGAAGTCAAGGTCATAGGAGCTCTCCAAGCTCTCCGAGCCTCAGCTTCCTCCTAATAGAGTGAGAGTGATAACACCTCCTTTAGAGGCAGCTGTGAGGGGTAGATGAGATTGTGCCTGGATGTGTGAATGGGCTTTCTCAGCTGCAAAAAAAACCTTTTTCCCAGGGAAGCCCAGGCCAGCCAGACCCTGGGAGGTGAGCTGCCCTTACATGAGCTGGACTTCAGGGGGAAGGGTAACTCAGCCCCAGTGAGGAGGTCATATGTCACGGGAAAGGGCGCAGGGAACTGATAGGGGTTGGATGGTCCCGACTGTCCTCTGGAACTTGGGACACAGAGCAGGTTCCAGCGAGCCACGTGTTCCTGCCTGGAAGCTGACAAGTTCAGCGTCAATCCCAGGACCCAGGTCCTGGCTTGATTCCATGAGGCAGGTGGTCCTGGGGAGGTTTCCCTGGTGGTCTCCTGCTTCTCGCCTCAGAGCCCTGATCCCACATCCCCAAATCTGGGCTTCCTTTGAAAGGCTCAGGGTTGTTGGGCATGTTAGTTTAAGGTAGACACAGCCCCCAAGTGAACGATGGCCCAAACACAACAGATGTCTAATTGCCTGCTCACACACCAGTCTGGGGTGCGTGGAGAAGCCTGAAAGCGGGGGCTGACCGAGGCTGTTGCTCCCAGGTCTCCTTGGGGGTCTCGCCGCCCACCAGCAGCAGGGGTAAGGGCTCAGAGGAGCATGCGTGGGAAAGTTTTCATGGACCAGGCCTGCAAGTGGAGCTTCTGCCACATTCCATTGGTCAGAGCTCAGGCTACATCTAACTAGGAGGAAGGCGGGGATCTGAGACTGTACTTGGGAAGAAGAGGGGGATATAGATTTTGGTGGGCTGTTGGTAGCCTCTGCCACTCAGGACCAAGGCTGGCCAAATAGTGGCTTTGTACTTGGACCTTCAAGGATGGCTGACTGTGGGAGAGGAGCAGACGTTGTGCGGGAACCGTGGTTTCCCTCCACTCCCCTTTGCAGTGGTCACACCAGCCAGGGACTAGGTCTTTCATGGGGAGAGGGGGCCCAGGTCCTGCCATGCTGCCCCCGCTGTAGGTGCTCACGGAAGAGTTCCGCCTGGATTACTGCCACCTCTGGCAGTCGCTGATCTGGACCGACATGAAGGGTGTGAGAAAGTACAGCCAGCGCCTGGGAGCCGGGGACCTCTACCCCTTGTTCACCTGCATGCTGACAGCCCGGTCGTGGGACTCAGTCAACAGGGGCATTGGCCAAACTCCAGTCACCGCCACTGAGGTGGGTGCCCCGCCCCCGCCGCCCCCCCCGCCCCGGTCCTGCCCTGTCCCGGATGCAAGGGGCAGGGCCAGGCGTGGCCTTTGGAGCCCTGCCAACCCGGGGTCTGGGGTTCTATACTGATGGGCTGTGGGGATGGAGTAGGGGGCAGAATTAGAGAGGTACTCGTTGAGGAGGAGGGAGGGAGGGAGAAAGAGTGTGCCTGGATGGGCGGAGGGAAAGGGGACGCTGTCCCACTGTGTCCCTCCTGGCCTTATCAACCTGGAATATAAGTAGGTCACGTTAATTGTGTAATCCAGGCTCTGTGACTTTCACTACAACCTGCTCTCATAACATTTCAGGCTTCCATCAAGTTCTCCCCCAGGACTTCTGGGAATCCCCAGGGACTGTCTGGTAAATAAGTCTGGCACCACCCACTGTCTTCTGCTGGGCACCATCTCCCATCGTGGGGTTGCTCTAGGGCACCCTCCTGGGCAGGGGGCTTCACTCCTCATGCCGTACTCAAGGGCTGCTTGTCCCTTCATTCCTATGGAGTTTTTAGTGAAACGGCTCTTTTGGTCTTTGTTTGTAGCTCATTCCTCCATTGGATCTGGAGTCTGGGCTGAGACCGATCCTAGGAACACCTTGTCCCTGTACTTGTACTCACCTCTGCCCCTCCAGTTGGGACTTAGCGGGTAGCTCATTCTTCCTGGCTCAGGGTGAGCTCCCTCCCAGGCTTCTTAATCCCTCATGGAATTGCCTTCTGTCTTCCCAGTCTGTCAGTTTGCAGACCTTTGCAGACTTGCCCTTGTCCATGTGGGGAGGGGCTTATGCTCACCACAAGGGACAGGGTCCTGCTTGTGCAGTAGAAAGACCTGGGCTCTGGTTCCAGCGCCTGCTTCTGGTGGCATGACCTTGGATGGTTCTAGTCACCTCTCTGAGCCTCAGAGTCCTCCCTTGCGAGCTGCCTTGTGGTTGGGGGCTTTAGGAATGGCTGGGTCCAGAGTCTCCAGCGATGTCAGCAAACCACCAACTGCCTCTTGCCATCTCTTGGCTCTGCTTTCCTCCAAGTTGACATCATTCCCCAGCAAACTTGGTGGCAAAGATGACCACCAGTTACCCCAGGCTTACACAGCTTTCAGCTCATCATCTCAGAAGAAAAACAATCTCCTTCTTTTGTTGAATAGGGATGATAGTTTCTGCTTTATTGATAATGCATGTAAAATGCTTCCTCATAGTTTCTGAAATTTGTTCACTGAATAAACATTTGTTTTTGCTGGACCCTGGACTGGGTGCCTGTGGATCCAGTGACGAACAGACAGACAGGACTTCCATGTAATTTGCACTTGTAGAGGAAGACAGACAGTAAACAAGTGAATAAACAGGTAAATGGAATAAGTGCAGGTTAGAGGTGCTGGGGTGGGGCGGGCGGGAAATAAGCAGGGTGCCGTGGTGATGGGTGATGGGGGGATGCCGTAGAGGAGATCTCGCTGGGGAGTTGACATGTAAGCTGAGGCCCGAAGGACAAGAAAGACACCAGCCACAGGAAGGGCCTGGAGAAAGCACACCAGGCAGAGGGCACGCGATGCATTAAGGGGGCAGGGTTGGGTGGTCTGGAGTGTGTGAGGAGGATGGTGGACTGAGAAGCCTTTGGAGGGCTGAGCTGGGAGAGCATCACACAGGGAGAATTTCAGATTCATTCTCAGGACAAAGCAGAGGCTTTGACAGGTTTTGAGCAGGAGAAGCATGTGCTCAGACTCGCTATGTTAATTATTTCTCTGGAGCGGGGCAAGATGAGCAGTGGGGCAGGACTTCAGGTGGAAAGATGATGGGGCTCAGACGACGCTAATGGAGGTGGAGAGAAGCCGGTGGGGCCAAGGCGTATTCTGGACGTAAGAGTGAGAGGCCTTCCTGTCAGCTTGGACATTGAGGGGAGGAAAAGGGGAGAGTCAGAGTTGCATCGTAGCTTTTTGAGGTGAGTTATGGGGTGCAGGGGGCACCACTTCCTGACATAGGAAGACTTGGGGAAGGACATGTTTGGGGTGGGAGGGTCAGTAGTTCTCCTGAGCGTTCAGATAGAGGTGTCGTGGGCAGTTAAGCCTGGTGCTCAGAGATCCAGCCTCGAGACATATAAGTTTGGGAGTCTTCAGCGTATAGATGGTATTAAAGCCACAGGGACGGACAAGATTGCGTGGCACGCAGTAGGTTCTCAGTGAATGATATCTGGTTTTATTAACTAAGTTAGAGTTTTATTTTTGCAAGCGGGTAGACATCCAGCAGGTTCCAAGCTTGAAGGCTGTGCTGCTCTGAGAAAGAGCCCCTCGGGGTAGCCTGGGTGGACACAGGGGCTTCCATTTGGGCTGAGAGGGGGTCTGGTGAGCGGGGCCTTGATCTGGCCTTAGCCCCCGCAAGCAGGGCGATCTGCAGCTGTGCGGGGAGGTGGCGGGGAGGCAGACAGCCTTTTGGTGTCTGGCTCGTGTTGAGATGTTCCAGTCTGATAGCTCCTGCCTGGGGGACATTTCAGGTTTCACAGCGGCTCAGTTGTCAGCGGCGCACGCGTGTTGCTGAAAGAGCCGAGAGCTCTGCTCCTGCTGCAGAAAGCGGCTGGGCGGGGTGAAGCGCTTGGCAGCGTTGCTGGGCCCCTTGGGGTGACTTTGACGGGCCCCACGCGCCTCCCCGTACCTTATCCCTGATGACCCTCTGGGTTCTGCTGGGAGGTGGGCACAGATGGTGTTAACATGCCCAGTTTTTTGGGGAGTGCATTGGGTCACACAGTCCTCTGTGAGATGACAGGCAGTGTAGTGGTGAGGGTGTGGGCTTGGGAGCTGCACGGCCTGGGTTTGACTTCTGACTCACCTCTTACTAGCTGTGGACCTTGGGGTGGTTACTTAACTTCTCAGCGCCTCAGTTTCCTCCTCTCATATGGGGGTATACACTTGCCTACTAGGGTTGCCGTGCGATTAGGTGAGTTAACACATGCAAGCATTGTCAGAGCGCCCGGCTTACTTAGTGATGCGCCATACGTGTGGACTATTGGCATCGTCACCATCACTGTTTCTCTGGAGACTGAGAAGGGATCAGAGGCTCACTCTATACTCAGGACTCTGGCTAGAGGCAGTTATCTGCCCAGAACCATGCAGAGCTCAGGGACGGGGAAGGCTGGGAAGCCAGACCCCAAACTTACCCACCAGGATGGGGCAAGGGCTAGCCCTGAATCCTGCTCTGGGGACAGGAGGACCTCGGGCAATGGGCGGGCTGACGCTGGCTCCAGCGTCTAGGACAGTGATAAGCGGTGGCCTGGTGGGCAGGTCTGGTGGGGTGCGGGGCCAGGCAGGGTATGGGGCAGGACTTTGGGTTTGGGGTCAGCAGCTCAGACCTCTCAACTGCACCAGCCTCGGCTTGGCTGGAGAGATGGAGGACACGACTCAGAAGCACCAGCTTCCAAGGCTCCTTCCAGGCCTGGCCTGAAATTGGTGGCCAGCGAAGAAGCCTTAGAAAATAACACAAGGGTGGACCCCGGGCTGAGAGGCTGGACTCATCAAATGGTTGGTGGGGAGGGAGACTTCCTGCCCCCATCAGTATGGGCTTGGGGGCTTGGGGGCTGGGTATGGGTGACCTTGGCTGCCGGGAGCTAGGGTGGCAGAGGCAGCAGAAATGCGGCCTGGTTCCTGCTG